AATTGTATTTAAACATGTCTTCAAAGTTAAATAAATATGCAAAAAATTAATATAATTTTATTTAAACATGCCTTTAAAATAAAATACAGTTACACAAAAAAAAATTAACATAAAGTAATTTAAAATTTTAACTTACTAGTATGAGGAAGTCATAAAAAAATACAAATAAAAGTAATGATTTTCTGTAGTATTTTTATTTCTAATCAATAACAAAATTTTTGAAACAAATATTTATTAATATAGCTACAAACATTAAATTTTTAATAACAAACATATTAAATTCTTTTTAAAAGTAGCGGTTCAATAAATTTAATTAAAAGTAAGACAAATTTATAAATTGTCATATTTTTATTGCTATTAAAATAATTACTAATTTTTTTTATGACTCGAGAATCTTTGGTGATACCGTGGTTTACCATTATCGTTTTTAGTAGACAATAATTGCTTGACTCCTAGAGTGCCAAATTTTTCTTGAGTATTTTGTAAGTCGTCGAAAGTTATGCATTCACTTGCAATCCTTTTTGCTATTATATTGGATATAACACCTTTTAAGGAGGTCCTTTCGCCACCAATGTTAAATAAAAAATATTAGATTATGACTAAAATTAATTTTTTTCTAATAGTAGATGTCCTTATTTATCTAATAGTGAACTTTTAACTATACCTTACCGTGCAAATTTTTGAGAATTTTTTTCTTTTAAAATGTGTGTGTTTGTACAGTGTCAATGGAGTAGAAAAAAAAACTAAAAATAAGGTTTTTGAAATATTTAGGTTTTGTTTTTTACAATAAAATATATAGGTTACCGTGGATTTTATTGAGAAATTATTATTAAAAAATCACAAAAAATTTTCAACTAGGTTACTACTAAACAACATGCAACTAATAAAATATATGAGTGGACAAAAGGATGGCGCATTGAGCCCAACGAAACTAAACCAGTTCAGGTTAACTTAACTAATAAAAGCTTAAACCAAATACATTCCCCTTTACATTTGTTAACCCTGATTTTAACGATTAGGTACACCCAAATTGGACACGCAAATTACCAAAATATTAAGAAGGATTTTAATAAAAAAAAAGAATTTTGTTTTAAAGAAAGCATACGCGTTAAATCACAAAACAGTTTTTATCAACAAACTGGAACGACAAAAAGTTTATATAGCCACAAAACATCATACCATTTCTCTACAGTTTCTGCCTAAAAGAAATTAGGATATCCAGAAGCAGATTAAGTTTAGTGTATTCAAGGTTTTTCAAAGCTAGAAAAAAATTCTGAAGCAATCGTGTAGAATATCAAATAAAAACTGTTTGAAGCACGATTTCAAAAATATATAATTTGTTTATTCGAAAAAAAAATTAAAAGTTACTGTCCTTCCAAAATATTGTTACATTTATTTATTTATTTAAAATAGATTATTTTAATTAATTTTTACACTTATACGCCAATTTTTTTATAACTAATTTTTTTGTACCTAATACTAATTTATATAGACATTTACTTAAATACTACTTAATGTGGACATGTACTTTATCGATCTGTTCACAGCTGTCTCGACTTTAACTACCTTTCCCACAGCAATACAGCCCTTTTATATAAAAAGGTGAAGGTTCTCGATGTTTCCACCAAATTTATCAACTAATATTAAAATATAAGGCACCTTCGCCAAATTGAAATTGAGTATCATCGAACATTCTATTGTGTTCTAGTATATTCCACACTGATAATCGACAGTGGTTACAACGGTCCCATTAGGATCGGTTTCGGGAGGTTAACTTATTTTTTTAAATATTTTTAGTAAGTGGGCCCTTAAGATCCAAACAAGTCAGAGAGATACTTAAGGCATTAGAGCATTACCAGACTAATCGAAAATTGCTCTCATTGTAATATCTTCAAAAATAGCAAAGGAGCTATACAATAATGAGTAAATAACCTGATAATAATGGAATGGAATGCTTATGGACTGCTGCAGCATCAACAAGAATTGCAAGCAATATTAGATATAGAAAGCATAGACATATGCTTAATTTCAGAGACTCACTTTATTAAATTTAAGGAATATAGGGTTTATCATGCCATTCATCCTCGAAATGCAGCAAGAGGGGTAACGCAGCAAGATTAAAGAAGCAATTAAGCATAATCAAGAAGCATAATCAAGCACGGAGGCTCGACAGGTAATCGATTACCCAAAAACCACAACAAATACAAATAATGCCAACAGTAAATTTTAAAATATCTCTAATGGTATTGGTTGTTTCGAAATATTCATGGACTTAATATCAGACATACGTTAAACTACTATTTCCATAGGAATGTCTATTCCGACAAGTTCGAGAATTGCATAACCTATTACCATGGGGATATAAGCAGTGGAATCTTTTCCCATGGGAAAATTTTCCAACGAACTCGAGAATCGAGCCCCTGTCCGCGGCAATAAAAAGGTTGGGAAGCACTGATCTAACAGCACATACTTTGATTACTATACGAGGCAAGAGAGAGGTCCGACACGCCCAACATAGGGCGCGGTCATTTTGAACCCTGTGACACAGTTTACAGCTAAAGAATCAGATCGCTCACTCTGCGTCGGCACTTTTGATCTCAATGTTTCAGTTTATACACTGTGCAACTCGGATAATACAATATATGACAACCGCCTATAATAAAACAGCAGTCTTCTGCGTATCCTGAATTTGTATTCCTGGAGTGGATGTTATTTTGGAACTTTCAACTGGTCCGAGTGAGCTAACTGATTCTTTAGCAATAAACTGTGACTTCAAAAATAATATTCACTGACACTGACAGCAGCAAGCAAAATATCAGGTGCGTTTTAATCATCCACTTCTGCTTCCGGAATTGTCAGTTTAGTCGTTTTAACCTGTCAGATTAAACCAAGAAAACCGACAATTCCAAAGCAGAAGCGGATGATTAAAACGCACCTATTAAAAATATTGCGCCAAGATGTAGGCAACACGTAATAGGGGTTCAAAATGGCGGAGTTTTCTATCTCCTTTTAAAAGGCACTCAGAAAGCTGCGCAGTGCGACCATTCTCCGTATAGTAAAAGAAAATCAAAGTATGTGTCTAACAGACATTTGAATTAGCGGGCGTTGAGTGTATCGATTACAACGTTGCCAAGTTGTAATCACAATACGCCACTATTCGTCGACTGCTTTAAGAACATTTTTATTTTAAAAATCTATATCTCTTTATCAAAACAGTAAAAAAATTCAGCGTTTTTTTTAGAAAATTTTATAACTTCTTGATTTACATTACATTAGTTTTCGAGATATCTTGAAATAAATGCAATGATTATGTACATGACAGGGCTTCAAGAGTGTTAATTATGCACATTTCGATTGTTAATATCTCGTTTTACAGACGGTCAAAAATTTTTATTTTTTTTTTAGGTACATAAAAGACACTTTCATTAACCTTATATTTCAATTTTATTGAATTCTTAAGAAAAGCCGTTTTACGAGTGAACTACCTTAACATAGTTGCAATACTCATCCTTCTGTCCTTTATTATTAGAATATAAATAGGCGAGCTAAGGAGCCCAAATATTTTACATGAGCAGGCTTAAGAGGTAAAGGGGCCAATTATTATTGGATAAATTGCTCGAACAAGTTTTTAAACCCTAATCAAAAGGCGATATAAAATGGTTTTAAAAATCAAGGCTTGTGAAAATCATCACATGGTTTAACCTAAGTAATGCCAATGCTTCACAAACCAAAAAATTCAACGTTCTAATACTACTATCGGCTTTCGGTATTTCGTTCCAAGTTAAATCATTTCTCGTTTTTATTACGCTACGAGTTTACCCTTGTGAGCCTCAGTCTCGATAAGGTGGGCACCACCATTTTAGCGTCTCTCGAAATATACAGTGTGTCTACTTAAGTTGGAACCATATGAAAAACATTTTTATTATTGATTTTAGGAAAAAAAGTTATTCTTGATAAAAAGTCCTGCATAACCCAAAACCTAAAATACAGTCATCACATATCAAATTTTTTAAGCCTTATACGAGGTTTGTCAAAAAATATGAATTTTGCTCAAGAGTAAAGTACGTTTATTTTTGACAAAATCGAAAATTTTCATAAAGAAAAGTTGATTAGAATTGAATATTACATTCAAATATGCAATGACACCGATCTATCTGAAAAAACATATTTTCTTATTTTTTATAAACTCTACACTCTACACATTGATTGTAAATATCTGAAAACGTTATAAATTACGTTAACTACTATAAACATAATACACTTTCCTTTTGTTTATGTTTGTGAAGAATTTAGCTTCTTAATGAAAATTTTCGATTTTGTAAAAAAATAAACAAAATTCATATTTTTTGACAAACCTCGTATACGGCTTGAAAAATTTGATATCTGATGACTGTATTTTAAGTTTTGGGTCATGCAGGACTTATTAAGAATAACTTTTTTTCCTAAAATCAATAATAAAAATGTTTTCCATATGGTTTCAACTTAAGTAGACACACTGTATATTACCAACCATTCATTCTTTAAAGTAGATCGTTTTGACACTTGCTGCGATTACAAAAGATGTCACTTTATATGTCAAAATTAGAAAAGAAATTTTTTTATGAATCACTCCATATTATTATGATTTAAGTGCATAATTAACAAATATGGCGCATTGTACAAACTTTTTGGGCGATAAAACACATTTAACATAAATAATGTTGATATGAATAGACGGAAAAATCAATTCCCTGTGCAAGAATAATTTCACTAACCACTAGCATTTTACATTTTTTGGCCTTTGTGCCTTTTGTCATGGATACGAAGCTATTTTGTGTAGGTATACACCACGCCGTCAATAATGCCATTCTCTATTAAATAATTATTTCGGTTTATTGTTAACTGGTCTGATTTTGGCGAAATTTGTATGAAATTTTCTGTAAATGTCTATATAGTGGCTTGAACTTACATGGTTATTTTGAAACTAAATGTATAACATAATGTTTTTTTTTTGTTTTAAGGTTTAATAGATATTAGATCAGGAGGTGATGTGGGTCTTGTAAGGCTTTTAGGAATTAATTCGAATTTATATGTCTGTTTTAACCACAATGGAGAATTATATGGAGAGGTAATTTTTAATTCTTATCAATTAACTATTAACTTAAATACTTATTCTGTGGCTAATGAACCATGTCAGAGTCTAATTTTTACTCACACACACACACACACACCCACACGCACACGCACACGCACACGCACACGCACACGCACACGCACACGCACACGCACACGCACACACGCACACACGCACACACGCACACACGCACACACCCACACACCCACACACCCACACACCCACACACCCACACATGCACACACGCACACGCACATCCACGCACCCACGCACACACGCACACACGCACACACACACACACACACACACACACACACACACACACACACACACACACACACACACACACACACACACACACACACACACACACACACACACACACACACACACACACACACACACACACACACACACACACACACACACACACACACACACACACACACACACACACACACACACACACACACACACACACACACACACACACACACACACACACACACACACACACACACACACACACACACACACACACACACACACACACACACACACACACACACACACACACACACACACACACACACACACACACACACACACACACACACACACACACACACACACACACACACACACACACACACACACACACACACACACACACACACACACACACACACACACACACACACACACACACACACACACACACACACACACACACACACACACACACACACACACACACACACACACACACACACACACACACACACACACACACACACACACACACACACACACACACACACACACACACACACACACACACACACACACACACACACACACACACACACACACACACACACACACACACACACACACACACACACACACACACACACACACACACACACACACACACACACACACACACACACACACACACACACACACACACACACACACACACACACACACACACACACACACACACACACACACACACACACACACACACACACACACACACACACACACACACACACACACACACACACACACACACACACACACACACACACACACACACACACACACACACACACACACACACACACACACACACACACACACACACACACACACACACACACACACACACACACACACACACACACACACACACACACACACACACACACACACACACACACACACACACACACACACACACACACACACACACACACACACACACACACACACACACACACACACACACACACACACACACACACACACACACACACACACACACACACACACACACACACACACACACACACACACACACACACACACACACACACACACACACACACACACACACACACACACACACACACACACACACACACACACACACACACACACACAGTTATAACAACACAAACGAATTTTTTTCCTATTTAACTACTTAAAAACAATCAAAAATATCTTTAATTTTCTAAAAAATTCTTCAATAAAATACTATTATTTAATTTTCATATATAACATAATCAAAAATTTAGAAATTTTATTTATGCATTTTTTATGAGGAAAGTCTGGTTTATTTGACCTAACTCGTTTCTTGATAGGGACGCTTGTACAGTGCTTCCAACGACTTCAGCAAATTCACAAATTCGCTCGGATAGAGAAGAGTTGGACGTCACGGTGCGCCATTGACTTATTTATCGTTGTTGTTAGACATTGCCATGGAAATATGTCAATGCGCTAAATTAGTGGCGTGATTTTTTAGAAATCGGTACATGATTCAAGTTTGTAATGAGTACTTAGAGTACTACATATTTTGGTCTCTAAAACAGCCATAATAGATGCGTGGGATTGTGACGTACACTTGCTCTTTTCTATCCGAGCAGACTCTACCGTTCAAGAAGCGAGTCAAGTCTGGATATAAAATGTATAGGTGTCTTCTCTCTGTATATAATTAATTTATTATTCTTGAATTTAGGAGGATCCAACAAACGAAGGCACAATCTTTAAAGAATCTTTTAGTGGATCGTATTCTACATTCCAAACGACCATGCATTCCCAAAATTGGTATATAGGCATTAAAAGAAATGGACTAACAAAGAATGGATCTCGAACTGAGGATGGCCAAAAAGCCGTTAGATTTTTACCTCGAAGATAATTATGTGTTAATTGTTAAATTATTTTTAATGTTGTGCATTTAATTTTTTATCTATTTATTGACTTTTTTTGTATCTATAATTTAGTAAAAATTAAAAACTATTTTAAAATAATTTGCGTTTCTTCAAATTTACAAAAAATAGAAAAATTTGGGAACATGTCAAAAAGGAGTATTCGATAGTAGTTGTGGGTCCTGTAAAAAATATAATAAAACAAAGCTGCATGTGATTTTACATTTTTATTTGCAGGAAACTATGTAACATTGGTATATTATATGCAACGATCATATAATAACTATTACATGAGAGTTGCATACACTACTTGTTCTACGACCAAGAAGCAATACTTCAATTTAACAACATATTTTTTTAATTTAAAATAGTTTTACCACTTTGCTAAAATAATTACTTAGTATAACATTAAATCATGTAATGTTTGATAACTTTTAAAATTAACTATGACCTTATGAAGACAAAAGACAATCTGTCTTGTGGTTTGTATAAATAATGCGCATTATATGAATAATATTACAGCTACCATTCCTAGTCTCTACATATTGTATTTTTTGACCTACAGGGCAAATTTATATAAATTTCCGTGTTACTATTTTTGTTTTTGCCAGTAATAAACTCATTTTTCTCCAAATCATCGTTGCTCTACATTTCTTTTTATATTTAAAATATCTGGATATCTCAAAATCATAGATCTAAATGACCCAAAACACAAATATCTTGGAAACCGTCAAACATTTTTTGGAGAAAATAAGAGAATTTCTACTTAACATTTAACATTAAAATTTAATTAACCCATTATAGTACAGAAGTAGAAACAAATAATTTCTGTGTTGCTAGTTGATATAAGTTATATTGAATCTCTTGGTGTGTTTGATTTTAAAAATGTATTAATAATGTTTTCATAAAAAAGAAAATCTTGCCACTCCTTTTTATTGAAGATTACTGAATCATTATTGTTTCCAGATATCACAACACATGGTGCAAAATTATTTTTATATGATAAACATACTGTGGCATGTTTAGTTTTTGAGTCATTTAAAAATACTTCTGCTCACCAACAAATACATCGGTTATACGCTTTGAATATATTTTGTATCATACTGATGTTTACACTGAATGTGACTTCTCTTATTAGACCACTACCATATGAGTGAGGATTATCAATAAGTCAAACCACTCCAACTCGCATCCAACTCTTGGGAGTAGATAAGATTATTAAACCGGTATCTAAAAATGGAAGTCAATAAACCATTCATGGCTCCGTTTACATGTATTTATTGGAGTAGATAAGATTATAGTCTTGGATCATTAAACCGGCCTTTGACCAGCTGGATTAGGGTTACGAAAGCATCCACATACATGAGGTTTTATGCCAAGGTCACCAAACTAGTTGTCAAAGTCACGATTAAACCAGTTCTGCTCCGAGCCACATACATGGGGTTTTATGCCAAGGTCACCAAACTGGTTGTCAAGGTCACCAAACTAGTTATCAAGGTCACGATCCGATCCTTTCCTTATACATATTATATCTACTTATAACTCTTTTAACTTCTACTATTATATATATATTAGATTGGATTTCATTTTAAATATTTAATCTTAATTGCTCGAATTCTAACAATGTCAAGAATATTCGAGATAGATCTATAATTTTTTCCAAAATATGAGCCGAAGATGTAATAGTACTTGCATTACAATGGACTGAGCCCAGATAGCACAAATACGTCTTATAGACGTTCTAAAAACGTCCTGCTTGGACATTAAGGACATCATTACAACGTCCATTTCACGGACGTGGACGTCTTATGTACCTACGACATTGGAACGTCTATTGTTAATAATCAGGATGTTTTAAGAAGGTCCATTTGAGGATATTCCATAGACATTTTCAAAAGCCCAAATGGTAAATAACAGGATGTTTAAGGAAATTAGTGAAAACAATGAATAATTTCAAAAAAATTTATTTGGAAGCAAATAACTTATGAATATTAAAACTATTAAAACTTTTTCTTCAAATTCATCCCGTCTCTCCTCTACTTTGTCCTTTTCAACCATGTCTGGATTGACAGCAGTTCAGTGTTTTTTCTTGATTTGGCCATATTTGTCTTCTCAGCTGAACCTGTAAATAATTTAATTGCTTATTCAAAATGAAAGGCAGATCAAATCAATATGAAAATCCAATCTGTTTGTTTAAGTTTGCCCTGCTAGACATTATGAATTTACTAACCTTATAGCTGGAAAACTTCCACCTTTCTCAGAGATAAAAAATAGTACAAACTATAAAAAAATAATATTAATCAAAAACATCACAGAGTCGAATCACAGTCAAATGGCGAAATGATAAAACTTGTACTCGTATATTATGTACATACCATCGAATCATGAACATTAAATACCATGTTTTTTCCTTTTTTTTTTTAATAAAACCTGAGCCCTCTTGAATCTAAATAAATAATAATAAAACTTGATAAAATGTAATTTGTCAACAATGTTCCTTTCTTGCACTGACCTTCTTCGTTTTTTGTCTATTTGGCCTTCATTTAATTGGATATTGGGACAATGCCATCTTTAATAATTATTTATATTATCTAATTATATATGTTGTTTATATAATATAACCAAATAATAATACAATGCGAATGTAAATCCATGGAAATATAATAAAGCACGTAGAATTGACGTTCTACGGATATCTATTTCTTTACGTCCCGAGGATTGACTAAACTTAACATACTTAAAACGGCCAGAATTGGACCTGGACGTACAGACGATAAA